TATATATATACAGTCACTAGGTAAGTTGGCTTGGCTAGGCTTGTATCATTCACGCATTACAGCTGTGGTACACTTGTGTCCAGCCATATTCCATTCCTCACGCCCCCCCCCCCAAGCACCTCACCGCGCCCGGCCTAAAATTTGAGAAGCTGTTGTTTGTGCTTGAACTCTGGTACCGTTAACGTTATCGCTAACACCAGTGCTGCTCCTGTAGCGTGTCAACACGCCGGCCTGTGAGGTCCCACTACAGATCAGAGCTCCTTTGTGTCTGGAAGACATTTCTGGTTCAATAAAGCAATCAAACAGAGAAAATGGCTTTTCCACAGCAGATAAGAAAAGACAGCGGCTCTGTGGAGTCAACAACATCAACCAAGACTCACCTCCACTGACCTGAGTCACAACAGGTCTGGACAGAGGAACGGATCCAAACTGAACGCAGGGAAAGTGAATAATATTGATTGATTTCTCGGGTGTTTTTAAACAACAAAGACCTAATGAACTGGAAACCACTGAGACGCTGGACTGGTTTCACTGCTGCCACCGACTGTGACGTGTTACAAGGCTTTTTCCGCTGAGCCGTCATCTTTGGGGAAAAGACAGAGGTTTGCTGAGTCACTCATGTTCAGAATGGATCAGTTTGGGGTGTTTAAGATGAAACTGCCTCGAAGAGAAACTGCACAGGGAGGATGAAGCCATGCCTCAACAACTGCAACGGTTCAGAAGGGATAGAGAGATGTGTGTGTGCGTGGGTCCGTGCATGAACACATGGGGGTGTGTGTGTGTGTGTGCGATGTGATGAGACATGAACCCCTGCTGCTGCTGCTGCTCGATAACCCCACTGCGTGAGATCTGACAGCTCCCACTGCCGTCTCTGGGGTGGGATAAAGAGACGCTTGTGTGTGTGCGTGCATGTGTGTGTGTGTGTGAGAGAGAGGGAGTTGGTTTTAGATAGGGAGCAAGAGAGAGAGAGAGAGAGAGGGAGTTTTAGATAGGGAACAAGAGAGAGAGAGAGAGGAAGTTTCCAAAAATAAAGTGGAAAACCAAGGATTCTCCACACAAGCTTATTCACATCAGCGTGAACGCGTCCTTTTGAAAACCCTGACATCCAGACTGATATCTGCTGAGGCCAGCTATTAAAAAAAGTAGAAGAAAATGTGGGATTTAACTCATCAAAAGTCACGGGTGTAATTAAGGCCTCAGCGCCATCTTCAGACAAAGCACAGCATCTGGGGAACACCCCGACTCCTTCATTAATACCCCGAGATATGAGGAGTGAAAACAACTCAGTGGTTTATTTTCAACTAACACGGACTGTTAGAGTTAGAGACGGTGACACACAGCTGTGAAGGTTTTTGTCGTCTATTAGTTACAACATCAAAAATATTTACAGTATATAGTCCAGTATGTAATATTATTGTAATCCTCTCACTCTCCACTAGGTGCTATTTGGTTTTATGTGCAGGATTTATCAAATCCTCCATCACACTCGAAGCTTTTCACACAAGAACACCTGAACTAACAAGTCTGGAATTGATAACACAACAATCCTGGTGTGAAACAACAAGACTTTAAACAGAGCTACAGCCAAACTAAGTCTAGAGACATATGAAAATAAAATAAAAATAAAAAACATTCCAAATCTAAATGCAAGTCCAGAGACATTTGAAAATAAAATAAAAAACATTCCAAATCTAAATGTATAACCAGGCACTTCCACATCCAGATCACAAACATTAAAAAAAACAACAAGCAACAAGCAACAAACACCAGCTCTCACACAAACATAGCATACAGTTAGCCAACAAGACATTTGAGGACCAAGGCAACGGAAGCACAGAATTAACATAATACATAACACAAAATATATTTTATATCTTGTAAATTATATCTCGGAAAAACATTCTGGAGATGAAACAAATCAAGAACCCAGCAGTCTAATGACAAACAGTCAGACTAGCAGAGTTGCAGCCAACTCTGCTAGTCTGGTGAGTCAACATGGGGACAGTTTAGCTTTGTTAAAGTTGACAGTTTTCATTTCAAAACCAAACGGAGAGACAGGTGGAGACAAAGTCAACATGTGGAGAAGTTTCTGTCTGTTTGTGTCGGTGTGTTTGTGTCCAAACTCACCGTGTGTTTGCTGTGACCAGAGAAAGAGTTTGGAGAGGCCTGAGCAGCACTTCCTGGTTTACATGTATTTGTGATGTCACTGATGACATCACTGGGCTAGGCAATACATGGAGGGGTGGGGTGTGGGCTCCCACACACACACACACTCCACCCCCACCCCGGTCTGTCATATGGTTTGATCTGACCTAGACAGTAGTTCTCAGGCTTTTTTTTGGTCATTCACCATTTTGAATTAGTGGAGTTTTTTAAGCCCCACCCACCTCCATCACACCAACATAAACCTACAAAAATAACGTCTGAAAACACAGTTTAAAGTGCAGTTGTGCCATCATCACTTGAACCTTGAAAATGTCTTCACATTTATAGCTCCTCACATGTCACGTCTCGGTTCACCTCCAGAGGGGTGCGAAGAAACTGGATTTAAAGTAAGTGATGTCGATTACGTTTAAAAAAAAAATACATACGAGAGGAAATTAGGGTTTCGAGTTTTGTTTAGCTTTTCTGTGTTTTTTATTGGTACATTTTTAACTGCATTTCTGGCAAAAATCAAATCAAACGTGGCGTCCTTCTGTCATCAGATGTTGAGCCAAACTATCTCACGTGGTGCTCTGATGGTGAGTGGTCGTATTTCAGATAAAAACTTGATCCAAAAAAATAAAAAATAAAATTTAAAAAAAAAATAAAAAATAAAGAAAACTTGATCCTAAAAAATTAAAATAAACATTTTGTATAACCTTAAAATACAAAGCATATAAAGACAATAGAAAATAAACAGTACATAAACTTTTTTTAAGAATTATCTTAAAATACCAAACATTTTCATGCTGTTTTCCAGAAAATGTGAAACTCCACTGTCTGGATCGTCTTTCTTACAGAACAGAACTTGATGCTGAAACAACACTGAGAAGAAAAATACCCTGTGTCTTCACTTTGTTACTGCAACAGAACCTGAACCAACAGTGGAAGAAAACTTGTCTGTCGCCTCTTCAGTAAAGCCGTCCCCCGAAGGCTGGAAAATATGGACTGCAGTTTCAGGACTTCTTTTTTCCTGATTCCATCTGCAGACGTTTATGTTATTGTTTAAACACCGTCTCCTTAAATGCACTTTCAGTAAAACCGGGTCATTTGTCCACTCACACCATAAAACCTGTAATCCATGACAGCTCAGGTGGAGTGTACCGTATATGAGTGACTCTTATCAGCACACTGCAGTATCCTTTATTAGGTTGTACTGGTGTGGTAAAAGTGGCCCCATAACTGCAGTCTGCAGGAACCACGGACAGTTTTGTGAATGAATATTTCACAGGGTCGTTGGACACATTAAGATAAGTACATTCTATTATTCCCATCTCCTCCCAGTGTTAAATGAAGTGATTCATGCTGAAGTCATTACTGGACGTGGATTTTAAAAAGTCACAGTCAAAATTGTTGCTCACATTCAACTCTCATTGGTCTGCAGGAGCGACAGGGATTTCTAAAGTTAATCCTACATTAAATTGATTTTTTAATTTTTATACAATGTCAGAACTGGACAGAAACCTTAAAAAGAAGACGTTATAAAACTGAATAGTGGCCAAAACACTGGAGAGGTGGTTCAAGATGACACTTCACAGCAATAATATCGCTGGCCTGAGCACAGTCTTGGACAGATGGAGCCTCGGCGTGTGTGTATGTTCTCACTGAAACACACTGATTAGGGATTAGGGTTAATAGGTGTGAATGTGAGTTTGAGTTGTTGTTTGTCCCCAAATACGACACAGCAAAGACCTGGCAAAATGTCAGCGATGTAATCTGTCTTCATCGGACATCAGCTTTGATCAGCAGCCGAGGATAGATGGCTATTTAATATGCGCAAACCACAACAACTCATTCTGCTTTGGTCTTTACGGAACACTGAATATTATAAATGTTAAGAAAAATTGATTGTTTGGGAACAGGAACCTCAAGAAGTTTCTTTGTTCGTTTTAACAATTTTTACAAGTTTTTCAGTTTGTTTGATTTAACCGGTTAGCACGTGTCACAATGACAATAAATAAATTTCAGTAGTGTTTTGTTTTTTTTTTTCAGATTTTGCATTTGTCTATCTGTATTATTTTGGCCACTGTTTCTCTCAAATAAATACTTCTCGCCAAATCCAGGTTTTATCAGTCTGTGGATTTTCAGAAAAACATCAAAATGCCAGAACTCTGACTCAGGGTGGAATCCTCAGCTGAGAGAGTGCAGTGTGTAACCTGGCTGGCACACACTGAGGTTCATGACAGAGAATATTGAAATAGTCACAGACTCAGAAATCTCACATTTGCATGAAATTCACTGTGGAAAACAGAAGTCACACAGAACCTCGTTATGTGGATGAACGGCTGCAACATTTGGTTTCATTTGCAGCACTAGAGCAACTCAGTAAAAATATACAGGGATTACGATGGAACAGGGTTTTTATGATAATGAAAATGTCTCAGTGGGCCGCGGTGGCGAGTGTCTCCACTTCATTTGATCAAGTCTGAACTGAGCCTCTCCTTTCAGAGAGAAACTTTCGTTTCAAACAGCAGAAATTCAAAATGACATTTTTTCAGCACGGTGCCTGAGGGGGAGAGGTGTTTGTTGCCTCGGGTTTTGTGATTCACATCAGGAAGGTTGACTATTCTTCCTGCCTAATGTGCCACACTGTGCCACAGCTGCTTAAGTAAAAGGCTGTTTACTCTGTAATGTAGCTTGACTTTCACAGCACGCTGCAATTTAAGGATGCATGAATGTTGTCCTTTACAGATTATGGGTAACTAACGTCTGAGTAAATATCTGCCGAGGGGCAATAGTTGTGTCTCAAAAGAGGTCGGCCTCAACGCAGTCACTTCTTTTGCACAAACATGCAAAGCAGGGCTGTGGTATGTCCAGATTTGTCTTCAGGTGTAAACCTCTGTTCTGTAGTTCTCCTCAGACAATAAGACATTTGAACCGTTCTTGTTCAAATCAGAGCAAAATAAATTGGAAATCAACTAATTACAAAATTAACATAGGCAGCTGTGAAGTCCAACAGAACCAGTTCTGCTACAATTCTGTGATAGTGTGTAGTATTTTCTATGCAAGTACTATCTGTATACGGTATCAATGTTTGGACATTTAGGACCAGGAACTATTCATAAACCATCAGTGCCTACTGAGCTGACCTAGATGGAGACCAGGTATTACATATGCAGTCAAGTAGTTCTCATAACTTCCAGATATGTAAAAACAAATTATCATGAACCAAACAGATAAATGACAAGTACACAAATCGGAATTTCAACAACTTTTACTTTGAAAGGATAAAAGCTGAAGAAAAATACATAAAATATACAAAGATCCATCCCAGATTAAAAAGAAAAAACAAAAACAGAGTGACAAATAATAGTCTTTTTTCACCTCTTGTCCATTTTGATTTTAACCACTTTACAGAAGGTTTGGAAGAAGAAAAAAACTCCACAGGTTATAAAAACTTTCCTCGTTCAAAAGCCAAACATATATATATAGCAAGAACTGTATTTTTTGCCAAAAAGCGCACAAATGAAAATGCAAACAATATTTTCATTATTGAAAACTCAAACTCTGCAACAGACACAGGAAGTGGACTATAAAAAGAAAAGCCCCGTAAAAACCTGCACATGAGTCAAGTGCCTTTTCTGATACTTAGAACTTTTGAAGGTTAAATGGGTTACACATGTGGAAAAGTCGCACAACAGCATTCACACAGTTTCTTTAAACCATTGTCGTAACATTCAGCAGTTGGTTGTGGCAGCGACAGCCACCTCGATAGTCATCCACCCGTGATACCCAGACTTAGTCCGTGTATTCTGTGTACTTCTTGGCGGATCCGTGCACCTTACTGGCGGGGTATTTCTGTCGGTTTAAGGCAAATTTGCGTAGCACTGCCTGGGGGAGGTCGACGTGACACTTCTCCGCGAGCTCCACCAGGTAGATCATCACGTCGCTGAGTTCGTGGGCCAGCTGCTCTCGCTCGGACTCGGTCCAGTCGGGCAGACCCTCAGCCACCTCCCCCCGCCACTGGAAGAGCTCCGACACCTCGCCCACTTCACCGACCATGGCAAGGAGCAGGTTGCGGGGCTTATGGAACTGGTTCCAGTCCCGCTCGTCAGTGAATTCCGCCTGAAGTCGCCGGATGTCCTCGAGAGTGGGCTGCGGACTGAAAGTAAACTTCTCCGGCTGTCGCTCAACTCCATTACGTAGCTTCAGGCTGAGTGAAGGCTCTGTGGCTGCCCCGTTCACTACTACTGAGCCGTTCACACAAACGTCGCAGTCGTTGTTTCCGTTTGTAGCCATCATGTTGCCTGACTTGTTTTTTATATATATATATAATTTGAAGTTAACAAAAACAGTTTCGACGCCCGTAAGACACGAACAAGCTGCTACACGTCCCAGTGAAGAAGTAAAGTCCCGCCAAACATTAGATCGGAAATGACGTATTAATGTCGTAAAGCGGAAATACGTCACAGGTACACGAAGCGGTGGTAGATCGACATGAAATGTCATATTGAAAAACTACAATTCCCAGGTCGTGAGCGGTAAAGCCGTAAAGAAAACATGGCAGCCTCCACGGGTGCTGCAATTGAGCTTGTGAAAAACATTAACAGGCGAATATTAACGTTATTTCCAAAGACTTTGTTTGTTTTTAGACATATAAGTACGAGGAGTTCACAATGTCAGAGTCAAGCACAGATGAGAACAAAAAGGTAAGAGAAGCTGATTTTACAACACTATATGACTATATGGTTCAAGAAACTAATACGATGTAAATGTGTAATTATGCGTTATTAATGACCAGGACTTGCAAATTGTTTTACAATTTAAATGTCAAAATGGGTTCGTTTATGAATAAGGACTGACTGCAAAAATGAGTTACTCTTTATATTTGCCACAGTCCTGTCGTCAAAAGATACTAAAAAAAACCCGTGGTGCTGTATAACAGTTTATAAACACTAGTTTTTACTGTTACTGATGTACTGTAGGACTGACTGCAAAAATGAGTTACTCTTTATATTTGCCACAGTCCTGTCGTCAAAAGATACTATCTTTTTTTCTCTCTATTTATCAGTGCTCCCCAGCAGCTGGTTGGTGTTGTGGGGTTGGAAATCCACGCCCAGATTAACTCCAACTCTAAGCTGTTTTCAGGCTCAGCAGTTTCTTTCGCAGCCCCTCCAAACTCCCAGGTGTCTTTCTTTGATGCCTCCTTACCGGGCACATTACCTGTAAGTGAGCTTTATTTATTTTAGCATAAAAAGCGGGTTTTTTCTTTCTTTCTTTGCCTGGTTTTGTTTTACATAATCAAAGAATGCCCTTGCCTGTCCCCTGCAGGTTTTGAATAGACGATGTGTTGAGGCAGCAGTGATGACAGGACTGGCTCTTAACTGCACTATAAACAGGAAGTCGTTTTTTGACAGGAAGCATTACTTCTACGCCGACCTCCCTGTAAGTCCCTCACTCTTTGTCCTTTACATTTGCCTTCCAAAGACCTGCACATTAAACTGCTTTATTCTTCTGCTCATATTTGTGCTTACCTCAAATGAATTTAACTTCTCCATCAACAGCTTTCCTCCGTTCAGCCCTGAGCTCTTACTTAAATTTTAAGCGAGACTTGCTGCGGCTGCAAAAATGCCTGTTTGCCAAACAGACACTCAAATGATACTCAAAGTTAATGACCAACATTTATTTGCCTCTACATTTTCTTTGGTGCATTTCTGTTTAAACATTATACACAGGTCATTTCTTCCTCCTGCCATTGCTGATCATTTAATTGTAACTTTCTCTTATTTATATAAAATCATTACTGGAACATAATAACTTCATTTACAGGTAGTGATTTCTGACTCCACAGTCATTACCCTTTACATTGTGTAGCTGGTGGAGTGATCATGACTATGAATTTTGGTAATAAGAGAACTTAACAGAAGTAGCTCAGTGAATGAGGAAATTTAGTTGGCTGTAATTAATGTTGAAAACGTTGTAGAAAAACATTTGTGTAGAATTTAATCTCATTACCAAGAACAAAATGAAAACAAGCAGTACTGGCATTGACCAGTAGTCTTACTGTGATCTTTTAACTCAGTGTTTTTCAAACTTTTTTTCTGGGGACCCATATTTTAAAAGTCACAAACCTTTGAGACCCAAGTCAATAGACATTATTCATAAACTCCTGGGAAACGTGATGCGAGACAACCCAAAAAAAATCTCTTGCAACCTGAGGGTTGCTCTTCTTATAATACATCTGTCTGATGATGAAACATAAATTATAAAGAATATTATGATTTTTTTATCATTGATAAATTGCTGTAAAAAAACTTTGAATCTTCAAACCTGCAGAATTGATGAGACTGGTGATTTAAACATGTAGATTTGTGGGGCAAATAGTTCAAGGCTAAAGTTGTGTAGATTGAAAATGCAGGGTTAACATGCTGGGGTAAGATCAGGGGGTAGAAAAAGTGAACAATCAACATAGTGGAGATTCTTTGTCATGTATTTTGAAATTCCAACAGAACCCTGTTTAATGGAGTGCTGGGATCACAGTTGTTTTCCTGTTGCACCTCCATGTGTTTACTAAAGGTTGCATCACCTCTGGATTCACTCTGTGCTGCAGACACACAGTCAAGAAGATAAAAACACAAACTTTGTTTTTCATTTATCAGAAAAACTTCAAAGAAAACTATTGAAAATGAATTATTTTTAATTGACATTATTTCAGTGTTTGTCAGACCATCAGGACAATAATCAGTCATTGACTCTTTTTACTGTATTTGAACCTTAATGTAAAGATCGCTCTTAAAAACATCCAGTCACCAGTTACATATGACATCACTGATCGGAGAAACATTTGCTCCTTAAATGATTAATGCTGCCGTCCCAGCAGAGATCCTTCTTTGCATTTAAATGGCAGTCAATGCACATGCATAAAGGCCTGTAATAACACGCCTCAGTGGCTTCACACTAATCTATCAGCGCCAGCCCCAATAAATACAATTTCCTGGAGATATTACTTTTCTGAATAAACAAGCATGGTCTGATTCTTATTGACACTGTGACATTAGAGTAATGAATGTTTGTGAAACACGAGGCTTGGTTTGGATTTACATCAACAACCGGGTGAGAGAAGAAAGAAGAGTCGCGTTTACTAATAAATACATTTGAATGATGTTCACCTTGTGACACTGAATGATCGGAGTCTTTAATGTTTGGACGTCAACATATTTTCGCAGTGGCCAAATTCACTACAATGAAGCGCTGAATTCACTAATGTGTTTACTTTAAACTACAGAAATGCTGGTACTTGTACTGGTTTGTAAAAACTGTCAGTATAGTACCGGTACTTGGTATTAGAGAGTATAGAAATGAACATGCTGGTACTTATACTGGTTTGTAAAAAAAAAAAAAAATTGATGTCAGTGGTGGGGCCAATATGGCTGCTTTGATTGGCTGGTCGTTTACTCTGGTGCAAATCAAAGCGTATACAATGTACTGTAGTGTGGACGTGTCCAAATGGACCACGTCTTCAAACGTCCTCAGGCTGTATGTCAGGCAGAGATGGGAGTGCTGCTGTAACTGAATATCAGAGAGGTGTTTGGATCATTAGGGCTGAATCTGCCGTCAGTGTGTAATCAGGAAATGTAAATGTGTCTACAAGGTACTTACAATCAACCTCATCCTCCATACAGTACATGCACTCATTATGCAGGAAATGCAAATGATCTTGTCGTCTGCAGATGCTGCATGAGGAGCAGTTATGGCAGTTATGGCTCCTGTTCCTGATATTGACAACAGCATTTTCAATCACAGAGACACAGTAGTGTGAAATAGAAACAGGTCTTTTCTGATGAGATGCACCAGCAGGAAATGTTACAGACTGAAACGGCCATGAACTAAAAAAAAAAAAAAAAAAAAAGGTCACCTGCTGTGATATGATTATTGAGGTGTCTGTTTGAAGGGGAGCTGCTTAGATTTGTGATTAATTGTCTGTGGAGCACGTTGTACAGAAAGGTAACGCCGCTCCTCCTCACACCGTCACCTCCGCCACCTAATCTCCTCTCCCATGTCCTCCCTCTTTTGCACAAGTATGATTAATGATTAGTTCCTGTGATGTGGTTGCCATAGTAACCTGGAAAATTAATTCTCTGAGCTGCAGGATACTTCAGTAACAGAGAGGCCGATGAAATATTCATTCTGATGCTTTTGTGAATAGGAACCTTGAGTGAAATGGCAACACTCACTGTATTGTGGAGTGGGTCCCGACCAATCAGAGGCAGCTGTGTTTAATTGACGCTCACTGTCTCCCCTTCACCTGCGCCCCCCGCTGCAGGCTGGTCTTCCATGTGGCTGCGCTGCAGTGCTGCGGTTTTAATAAACAACCTGAGGAGAATTCAGTCAATTAAAAACTGCAGTAGAAAACGAGTGAAGGATGAAGTGCTGTGATATCTGTATGTTGACTAAAATAGTTATTTATCAGGTGAATTATTTTCTAAGAGAACATTCAAAATTATTATTTCAAGGAAATGGCAGTGGTTGGTTTTCTTTTTCTTTTCAGAGATTCAGAGACGACGTTCTGTGATGCAGTGATGAGCTCGGGTTCCGTCTTTGAGAAAAACATTTTGACATTAGGTTGTTGTGACCCTAGGGGTCATTTGTCCCCTCATCGTGTGTGTGAGTGAGATTGGTTGGATGTGTTTTGGGTTTTTTTTGTGAAGCTGTGCATGTCACTGGATCAGTTGGTTCCTGTGAGCTGATTGGTCGTAAGGAAGCTGCTGGGAGACAGATCTGCTGACTCAGCTAATCCGCCCGCAACCATGACTGACGTTTGTTTCATCATTCTGAATCCAATTTAAAATGTGTTTGTTTTGTTGCCGAGGGCTTTTTGAGGACAGTCTCCATCGCTTTCTTGTTGTAATGTAACAACAGGTCTATCATTAATCACCAAACAAAGTCTTGGTGATCATCAGGGAACATGGGAACTTTACCAACTTTTTAGCTTTCTTAAAAAGTTTTAGTCAAGTATAACATCATTAAACATCATTCCTCTGAATGTTTTAAACATTTTAACTGTTACTACCTGATCTCTGCCCACAGCTCTGATAATGATGTTTTCTGTGCTCTCAGGCTGGATATCAGATCACTCAGCAGCGGCAGCCCATCGCCGTGGATGGCATTTTAAACTACAGTTTCCTGGGAGGGAAGAAAAGGAGCCAAGTCGTCAGGAAAACAGTCAGTATCAAACAGATCCAGCTGGAGCAGGACAGCGGCAAAAGTCTCCACGATGAAGTCCACAGTCAGACGCTGATAGACCTGAACAGAGCAGGTGACACCCATCAGTGTGTGCACTCAGACGTGAATATTTCTTTATTTAATATCTCCACCCTGGTGTTCTCAGCAAGTCAGAAAAATCTCCCAAGATCAGCAACAACAACGTGTCAGTTCCCGGTAGTTGATTTCACTGGTCTGCGGTGGATGATCTGTTGCTGTTTGTTCAGTTAATCCATCTGGGGCTCGACGCTGTTTTTTTTTTCCTCTTTGATTTCACAAATATTCAGCAAAGAAGAAAATGTGGATTGAAATTCTCTCCAGAAATTCACTGTTTATCTGTGTTTTCAACTAATCTGCTCCAGTAAAAAAAAAATAGTTTAACATTCTTACACCTGTTTCGATTACATTTGCTGAGTTATAATTTTTCACATTCAGCTTTGTTGTTTAAATCAAAGCAGAAACTGTCGTGAACTACAGCTGTCTTCATGTCCATCAGGTGTAGGTCTGATGGAGTTGGTGATGGAGCCAGACATGAGCTGTGGAGAAGAGGCTGCTGCAGCTGTCAGAGAGCTCCAGCTCATCCTGCAGGCCCTGGGAACCTGTCAAGGCAACATGTCTGGTAAGGAAGCCATTTTTTTTTCTTTCTTTCTTTCTGCCTGTCTGTCCGACACACTCTGGTACTGAGCTGCCATACTTCATGCCCATACTTATTTCTGTTTCCCCCTCAGAGGGACAGTTGAGAGTCGACGCAAATGTGTCAGTTCACAGACCAGGTGAGCCGCTGGGCATCAGGACGGAGGTGAAAAACATCAACAGCATGCGATACCTGGCCAGGGCAATAGGTGGGTGTCTGGAGTTCTCTGAGTTTGACAGAGTGAGGATAAAAGACTGCTTCATTCAATTATATAGTGGAATTCTTTTTTGAAGATATTTAAATTAGTTCAACCTTGGTCTAACAGTCGCAAAATATATATATATTGGAAAAATCTTAGTTCCCACATATTTTTCTCTTACATAATAATGCCACTAAAATGTGATGCATCCCCTAAAGTTTCAAGTATTTTACAGTATCCTACACTCGTTCAGTTTAATGTCAGTAACGTCAACGTACAGACGGCACATTTGAATCACTCAGTAGAACTGAAGAAACCTTTAAACATCAGCGTCTTTAAAGACCATCAACTAAAGCAACAGGACATAAAAATAAACGCGAGAGGATAAATCTGAGTTATGGTTCAGATGGTGAAACTTTTACTTTATGATTTGTTTTTTTTATAATGTGATGTAATGTTGTAAAGTTTTTAATTCAATTAGGATCCAGTACAAAAGCAATATATTTATATTAATATCAATGATCAGCTCATCCAGGAGACAGGGAAACAACTGCAGAGTGACAGTGACGTGTGAGGCGTCGGTTTAGGACTGACGACCTTTCACAAACAATTATCGGCGTGACAGCGGCGGTGTTGGTGAAACGACTTCCTGCAGCTGTTCATTTAAAATATGGATTGATTTTTGTGTCAGCACCAAACTAACCGAGTGTTATTAGATAATGTGTGTCATCCACGGAATCCCAGCATTCTTCACTCTTCACAGGGTGTTGTTGGGGCGGGGTTCGTTCATCAATATATTTATTCATAAGCACTTTTTTTTATTAAACAAATTACAATGTATAGACTGTAATGTGTTGACTGTATTCTGGACTTTTACCGAATATGAAAGTGTCCGTACTCACGTGGATGTTGTTCCACCAGACTTTGAGATCCAGAGACAGATCGGCGTCCTGCAGAGAGGAGGACTGGTGCTGAACGAGACCCGGACGTACGACTCCAAGTCGGGGTAAGACCGTGAGGGAGGAGGTCGGTGTCACCGCACTGACACTGACACCAGTGAGCACTGATGAAGGGAAAGATAAAAACAACAAAAACAAAGCTTCTGGCGCTTCAATGAAACCAAATATATTAGTTTCATGTCAGACACTTGAGATGGTATTTGAAGCTTCTGGCGCTTCAATGAAACCAAAACTCTTTCTACAATGTGTATAAATAACAACAGGTGTATCAACAATTGCATCTTTTTTTAACAAACTCTTAAACTCCTGCCATGGTCCTTGGATCAAAATCAGCCTCAATTAGAGCAGCAACCAGTGGACAGACGGTGGGTTAGATACACAGTGTGTGTCATTCTCTGTGTTTCACCAAAATGGTCAGAGCCGACTCTGTCCTGCACCAGCAGGGGCACTGTCTGTCTGTCTGTCTGTCTGTCTGTATTCATCACAGCAGACTGAAGGCCTTGGTCTCCCGTGGGACGTGTGACCTGCAGAGTTTGTTTATTTTACCAGTGGGTCGTCAGACAGACGCTCGCTCCAGGTCTACCGTGCTGCGACTGAACCAAGGCTACGCCAGTGTGCTGCTTTCACAAACACAGAAATATATGACGTACAGTACTGTAGTTATGGTTTGACATGACATGAAAGACATACAGAACATACCAGAAGAGATAGGGGGAAAGGTCAGCTGACAGGAAAGACCTGTTTGTAATGAGAGGCTGTTGAAGGAGGCGACAATTAGGGCAGAGCCGTGGGGATCTGAAACAACAGAAGGAGTGCAGCAGACGCCATTAATTCAATGTTCAATGTTTTTTTTTGTCTGACTCAGAATGCACTGCACGCCACGTAATTTCTACTTCTTGGTTCACTTCATCACTTTGGTTTGCTGATGGGATTAGATTTCAAACCTGCCCAGATTACGTAACCAGACTATCCTGGAGAATAAACTGATCTGTTCAAAGTGGACCAAACATCCCTGGTGCTGTGAGCGTTCTAAGAATGACTAAGGTGTCGTTGATTGTCTGATCAGTGACTGATTCTGGGACCAGAACTTTACATAAACAGCCATTTGTTCTTGCCTCCAGCTATAGCACCCCCTAATGGCCATTTAAGGCCATTTAAGTTTTCAAGCACTCCCACATTGGCTTCAGTTTTCAACACAAACTCAGTATTTCGTACTTTTTGAAGTAACATAAGCTGTACTTTAGCACATTTGAAGTGTTTGCCTTCTTTTCTTAATGGTTCCAGGCAACGTTTTCTTTTTGTTCCGTCTTGTTTCTTGTGCCTCTGTCTGTGGTCGGGGCGATTAATTTGGAGCTGTGCTCAGCGAGAATCATCATGGTAATGATGATGAATAGAGTCATTTGGATGCCTCTCCTGTCGTCCTGTGTTATCTCTGAGCTATGTTCTAGTCACAAGCTGCTGGAGAACTCAGACAACGATCCAGCTCCAGCGCTGCTGAGGCGTTGGGCTTTTTTTTTCTTCTTGGTGCCTTCTTCCTGTGAGGCCTTCGTCTGTGTCACAGTCAAAGAAAATACGTTGTGATATATTTCTGTAAAGCTAGGAGGCAAACACTTTAAAAAGTGGTCCCAGTAAAGACATTACTACTCAGGCTTGTAGTAGTGATGCCTTTCACACAGTATTACTTCACAAGTGATACCTACTTTGTATGTATATGTATATATATTTATATTCACTTAAGTATATATGTGTAATAATATATATGTGTATGTGTGTCTATATAATATACATATGTATATATATTTGTGTATATTTATATATACAGTGTATTATACTATATATTGATATACAGTATGTGTGTGTGTTGTCCAGGGAGACCATTCCAATGAGGGACAAAGAGGGTCTTCAGGACTACAGGTGGGTGTGACATGGCACTCATTTGACTTTGACAGAATTCATATGGGTGAGTGATGAGAGGGGGGAGACAGATGGGGGGGGGGCGTCAGTGACAAAGGTCGTTATTGAAATGCATGGTGTCAAAAAGAATTGCAGTCTCATCTTCCTAAAGGTTATGTACACCAGTGATGAAGTCTTCCTCCTCCTCCTCCTCCTCTTCCTCCTCCTGCCGCCCACTCACATCTTTTTCAGGTTCATGCCAGAGCCCAACCTGCCCCCTCTGGTGGTGTATGAAGACACGTCGTCTCTGCCTGATGGCGTTGACTCCAGCCAGGCTGTGGTGATGCAGAGTTTAAAGGAGAAGCTTCCAGAGCTTCCTGGAGTGAAAAGAGACCGACTGGTGCAGATGTACGACATCCTGCCTGAACACAGCTTCACTCTGATGGTGAGTCCTTCTCTCTGCCAGTGCCTGGAGAGAACTCCGTCTTAGTCCTGTTCTGTACATACTTAGGTAAGTACAGTTCATCCAGATCACCATCTGCAGGAATTATTTAAAGTCTATTTAATGAAGCGAAAGTTAAAGTTCATGTTGTATTTTTTGTTGCAGAGCGAGGACGGGCTGGTGGAATACTTTGAGACGGTCTCGAAGGCGACCAAAATGGAACCAAGAAGGGTGATTGGCTGGGTGACACAGGAGCTGTTGGGTCAACTCAATCAGAAAGACATGAGTGTGAGCCAGAGGTGAGACTAACAGCAGTCTGGTCCACAGCTCATGGAGTCAGTTCAGGTTTCACACCTGTCCGTCCATTTGATTTTCTTTCTGTTTTTTTTTTTACAGTAATAGAAGGATAATTATGGTTCATATTTTATTCTGACAAAGAACAAAATGACATGCTGTATGTTCAGGTCTTTTTCAGAGCTAAACACAGTCATGACTTTTATACCATATATTTACATTACTTTTCAACACATTAAACTGAGCCAGGAGTAATCTCAGGTTAGGATTATGTGCCGACCACCACATCATTTTCACACTATTACAATTTTATTATTAATATTATTATTATTAATAATAATAATAATATTGTAGAACACAAATATATAGTGGTTCCGTGGTGAAGCAGTTGTCAAACATGCCTTACACACAGAAGGTCCTGGGTTTGATTCTCAGGTTGGATTGTATTAGCAGGGGTGGTCAGAGTGTGGTGACCGTGATGGAGGGACCAGCTGATAAAATGACTCTTTTTCAAACATCCTGGTAGTCTGCTGCTCTTCCCTAAATAAACCAGTCAATGAAGGAAGTTTGACTTAGTTGGAAAAGCTCTGCTCAGTGAGGGAGCCGTCCAAAAATGTCAAAATGCAGCGAGGAGGGTTACATCAGCTTCTAAATCAATAGTACCGTAAACAGAGCACATAAGTCGGTGGCAGGGCTGGTGGTGGAGGCTGATGGAAGGGGAGGTTGGCATCAAACAGCAGTGGCATGATTTATATCAGCAGAGAGAAGCAGCCGTCTGAGCAGAATGAGAAACAGCCAGGGAGGAATTTCTCAAACATGACGTTACACACGGCAGAGAGAGAACGACTCCATCCACTCAGCCGTCAGTCTGTTCATCCGCCTCAGTCGTGATCTGAAGAATCAGCAGAGATGAGGATGAGCAGCGGAGGTGGATAAAGACTCGTTCAAACAAAAATAAAAAACATTCCATCTGTCATCATAGCCACTTGTCATTGAAGGTGGATGAAGAGGCTCCAGCCAAATGGAGGTAGAACCAGACAATGGGCCGAGGACATCCGGCCTGTCTGAGGCTCAGTGGTGCAGCTTCTCTAAAAGAATGAAAATTTAAAAAAAAAAATCAGCAAACTCTTTCAAAAAACTTAATTTAAAAAAAGATAGGGTTTGACACCGTGCGTGTGGTACGAAGTATTTTCGTACAGATGATGAAAGTCTTCCGGAGTATTTTGTCAGAAATGACACCGATTTTCATCACCCCCAAAAGTCAAGTAGACATAGAGCGAGTAGAAGCTAATACAATCCCACACTCATTGTAGAGGTGCAGTGGTTCTCAAACTTTTCTGGTCATTCTTTGAAGTAGTCGGGATTATCAACCTCCATCTGCCCCCGCCGCCCCAACAAAGATCTTGACAAATTACATTCAAATGTATTGAACTCACACCAACAAATCACAGTAAATAACATCAACTAACTAAGTGCAGTCGTGACATCATCACCTTGAAAATGTCCTCCCGTTTGTCGTCCCATCTGCCATGTCTTTGTGTCCCACCAGTGGGGCCCGGCCCACACTTTGAGAATCACCACTGTAGAAACACTTAAGCTGTGGTAGATGAACACACTTTATAAATGGAACCAAAACACATTATATTCTGCACGTCATTGGACTGAGGAGAGGAGAACCCGGAGGAACCTCACCATCACACACTTTGGGAACATTTATCCTACGCCTGCAGAAAAATCTCCGTTTCCACAGAAGTTGTTCTTGTGCAGAAACTTTGGGGGTTAAGGAGGTTTGACTTTGCTTAAAGACTTCCATTTTAAACAGCTACAGCCTGACTGTGGGCACCAGTGGAATCACTGATTCAGTGTGCAGTGCAAATGTTGTTGTCGTACATCAGCTGTAGTGTAACACTCCAGTCGGATTCTCTCAGCGTGAGCTGGACTGGGACATCTGTGTTTCAGACGTCACATTCACAGACGCTTAACGTAGTGGCTCAAAACTTAGAGAAATATCCTTCCCTGGTTCAGTAAAGCCCTCACGAAATGACTGAGCCGAGAGGTCGACAGGTCAGTCGTCAATTAATTTGTGATTGGTAATCTGACTCAAACTTGAATCAAACGTACATTTTTTGATCCCTCAATTACACGTCTTTGCGATCAGTAACTGATTTGTTCAACACCACAAAACTGTCTGTTGTTTCTTAAACCTGATTCAGACAACAGATGGATGGATGGATGGATGGACTGATTCAGACAACAGATGGTGGATGGATGGATGGATTGTGTAATTTTCACTAGTGGATCAGGTCACTTGTGTGACCTCATATCCAGCGTGCACAGTCGGGTGAAAAAACTCAATGAAAACGGTGAGAGCAGTTTTCCTAATGACTGGTTTGTAAAGTTACACTTGTATCAGACCTTTTCAGTGTAAAATCATAATTAAATCATGGACGGCCACGTTCCTGTGCTGAGCACCGTGTTTTTGTTTTGTTTTTAATTAGTTCAGTGCATTTCACCGTTCCCCTTGGTGAGAAATATTATTGCTGTAAATAACTGTAGAAAACGACCCTGCTGTGTCTGTGAGTGTGGACCTTCCTCCTGTTTCCTCACAGCCTTCACCTAATGAAAGTCCCTGCTCTCCTTTTATTTTCTAACAGACTTGATTCTATTTGTCTGTTGGCCTGGAGACACAGAGGCAAAGACACAAACACATTACAGTCAGATCACAGACGTTGATGGACTCCAGGGCACTTTTAGCCTGAGCTCCTCGTCCTCCTCCTCCACCTCTATCACTCACTCAGTTCATTTAAATGAAATTCAATTTCTCCTTCATTTGATTTCAGCCCAGTGTCTCCTCCTGCCTTGGCCGAGCTGTTAGAGCTCCTGCAAACAGGACACATCTCCTCCTCGGCTGCCAAGCAGGTCAGTCAGCTGCACGTCTGTCACTGTGTTCACACCACAGCAGCCACAGCTCGTTTGGTTCTCACCGGACGTCCTCTTACTGACAGGTGTTTCAGAAGATGTGGACGTCAGGAGACAAGTCCGCCGCACAGATCGTCAAAGATCTGGACCTGGGGATGGTTAAGGACACTGCCAGGCTGCACAGCATCTGCCAGAAGGTGGTGGACGCTCATCCAAATGAGGTCAGAGGTCAACCATCCATTATGTGTTTTAAATGATTAGTTCAGTTTGTTTTTAGGTTTTAAAAAAAGAAAACATGCGTGTCTCCTGTGCCTCGGTGTAGGTTCAGGCCATCAGAAACGGAAACAAGAAAGTACTGAACAAACTGATGGGTCAGGTTCAGAGGGAGACCAAAGGTAAAGCTGATCCAGTTCTGGTCAGAGCCATCCTGGAGGAGAAGACGTCGTGAAGGTGGAAACATCTGGACGTGAATCCACAGGAACTGAGATGATGTACTGATGAGCATGAAACTGCTGAAAACCATGACTCCAAGTTCATTAAAAAAGCTGCCGTCACGGCTGTGATGAGGAGAAAAACCCTGTCCAGGATCACATATCAAACAGGGCAGCAATGAATGAGCTCCCTCTTGTGGTAATCCCTGAGAATAGTGACAGGGTTGCAGTTTGACGTCACAGTCCTGATTTAAAGCTCGTTATTTTCATTACTCTATTAATTCCCAAAGGGAAATGACTTTCTGCGTTTATCCCCTCCGTGAAACACTCCAGTGATTAACAGCGCGCACACACACACACACACACACACAGAGAGAGAAGCAGCAGCAGCAGCAGAGAGCTGCACAGTTTAATTGCCCCACCACAGACCAGGGCAGTCCTGGTGCCTGACAACGTGCATCCTTCAGATTAGCAGTCTGAACTTTTTAACTTTTAACCACCAGGTGACAGGTATTAGTTTATTTGTAACGTGATTTTTTTTTTTTTTTGACTAAATAAATAAATCTATCCATAGTCTGACTTTTTTCCTACAGAATGTGCAGGATGTTGTCAGTGTGTGGACACGGTTCTGCCTCCACAGAATGACCTGAGCTGCCTGTGGTTTATCATCATCACTAATACAAGTTCTCCCAGACTTTAAACCCAGGCTCCGGCAAAGAACTCGAACCCATGACTCTGCAGGAGCTCACAAACACAGACGCCCCGTGCAGGACTGGGCAGAGGAACAGAGTGAATGATCAGAAACAGACCGGAGCCACAGTTAATCTGTCAAGAGAATAGGCAACGACACAAAGTTGGCGTTCAAACAATGAACGAAACACAAAAGACGAAGGAGTGAACGCATGTGAACAAACACAACACTTCACAACACGGAAGGACAAATCCCTGGGGTGGGGGACTAACGAGACACAGGTGAAGGGGATTAGAGCAGGTGCAGGTGATGATCACAGAAAGATCACAAATAAAGGAGGCAGGAAGTGAGGAACATGGAAGACGATGACAGAGATGACAGAGGTGAAGAAAAAGAATTGAATAAAAAGGGTCAATGTCAGTGAACAGGAGTGGGATGTGACACCAATCTGCTGTAAAATAAGTCAGTTATAGTTAAAGTCTGCTGTCTGTGATATGACCTTGAATACGAGTGAAGTGAATTTTTTGGTTTCCACTCACAAACAGTATTATCTCATTATTGTTATGACATTTGACACCTGTGGGATGATTTGTTTACGTATATTAGCATTAAAATTACAGTCAGGAGAAGAAGTGAAACAAAGAGCAGTAGAAACGGGAAAAGAGCTTAAAAGTTTCTCCACTTTTCTTCTCCTCACATCGAAATATCAAGTGCTAGTACAAAGCCTAGGGTGAAGGCTGGGTGGCGCTGTTTGACAGGAAGGTTAGCTCACTGTCTAAAACTTTAGTCAACAAACTGAACTCTGGTTATGAGCACAGTTGTGATGGATCACGATCTGTCCTGTGGTCAGATTGTGACACGGTTCAATGTCATTTTAAGAGAAAAACCAAACAGATTTTGTCTATTAAAGATACTCAAAGACCAACCAGATGGTACAACAGAGCATCATGAACGTGACTGTACCAAAATTGTGCCTTATAGACAAAGAGTTCACATGTTCCACTGCAAATACAGGCAAAAAAAGTGCTGTTAGAATGACTGATGGGTTCAAAGTTCCAGGGGATTATCAGGGAAGAAGTGATTTCAGGTGTGACACAGGTACTGTAGTTGATGAAGGTACAGTTACTGTAGTTGATGAAGGTACAGTTACTGTAGTTGATGAAGGTACAGTTACTGTAATTGATGAAGGTACAGGTACTGTAGTTTCCTCACTGGTAGTTTACTCACACAGTGGAGTTTCTGCTCTGCTGTATGAACAAAGCGACGTCCATCCGTCCAGAGTCGTTCCTCTCGGCTCATCGTCCTCCTCTCCTACACCAATGCTGTATTTTTCTGCTTCAATACGGATTTTTTTCGTTTGTTATTTTTGATGTTTAAAGAAACAACGATGAACAGAGAAAGTGTTCGCCTCACCTCGGTCAGTGTGGAGAGATCAACATCTGGAACAATCTGGAAGTCTGAAGGAGAAGTGGAGAAAATGTAGATATTGTTAATAAACAAAGCACAAATCACCGTTGTTTTAAAATCTCTCACAGAAAGAAAGAAAGAAAGAAACATCAAGGTGTGAGTTTATCAGATATTGTCTTTATTGAAAGGAAAAATACCTCTGTGACAACGACATCAGCGAAAAACAAATATTTAGAACCTGGTCTGTCCGTGACAGAAGACTGTGAATCTTTGGAAACTGCTTGTATCCCGTTAGAATCCTGCTCTCAGGCCACTTGCTGCCAACACAGAGATGGTTTTAGCAGTGACTGTTGATTGTTGTCTGATACACAGACTGGTCCTGTGGTGAATGAAGGCCTGTGTCAGCAGCAGCGCAGAGAGACACTGGAGGAACACCGGCCTGATAAAGTGCTCTGCAACATTCTGGTCAGAAAATTAATCATCAGTGGAATCAGAACGTTCCAGCTTTACATAAAAAAATCATCGGTGGAATCAGAACGTTCCAGCTTTACATCGTACACATGAACCATTTCAACAATAAAATTAGTTGTAAGCACAGAAGCACCCCAAAGCATTGATATGATTGGATCCCAACTTAGTCAGAATTTTTGGAGAATACAATCTTTACACAACGTAGAAAATGTTCTCAACAAATCAGACTGATGATAAAACAAAAGTCACATTTATATCATTTTTGAATATGAGAAAAGATTTTCTCGTTACGCCAAATTATGTAATAGTGTGCAAATGTCCACAAAGAGTAGTTATAACTTATACCAGGCTGTGTGTCGTGGTTCCAAAAATGGGGACTGTATGTATTATAATATTTTCTTAGGTAAAATATTGTGTCATTTTATTTCCTCAGTTCAACATGAACATCAGTTATGAAGGAATTTGTGTTTAACTTAAATATGACGACGTTTTGAAGCCACAGTTATGAATGTGTTGATGCACAACAGTGCCATCTACAGAGGGGGAGTGGCAGAAAACGTTTGGGAACCACTGACTTAGATAAAGTATTCCTTTATTTTCTGTCCAAAACTAAATAAAAACATCGTAGTGTTCATGTCGATTCTGGCCTGAACTTGAACTGGAATTAACAATAGTTTAAAATAAACTAAAAAAAATCTCTGTCTGTTCAGATCTGCTGTATCTCATTTTAATAACAACGGAGACTAAATATAAAAACAATTCATAAATGTTTAACCCAACAATCCTTAGTTTGAGATGATTTTAAATTTTCATTTAAAAGAAACCGACCGTACCCCTTACACCCCCGTGTCGACTGTGACGACGTACAGGAAGGACAAATATGGCAAAACAAACTCAAAAAAGCTTAAATACCCGGCCCCATTCTAAAAATATATACTAAAGTTAATCATACCAAAAATATTGCATAATTATTATACTTATTTGCATAGTTTTATTTTCTTACATTATGTACAGTATAAAGTGTAGGTAAAGTAAGGCTTTCCTGAAATCTTGCAGAACAAGTACCGTCCTGGGTGTTTGTGCTGGTGCCTGTAGAAAATGTGGAGTCCCATTAACGTGACAAACTAGTGCAGTTTGGGGGAAATCCTTCCACCCAAAGGCCTTTAAAAAAAAGTAGTGAGAGACAGAGGATGTGCATCAAAAGACTCCTGAGGTACCGTCATGAATCCACACAGAGATGCTAAAATGAACGAACACCACAAACAGCGGTGATGGAAACACGGAGGAAAATAAACGACATGTTTTAGTCATAGATCAAGTCGAGTAGCGAGAGAAAAATAAAAACAAGAATTTGACCGCAGCAGCCACGAACCTAGTGCAAAACAGCCCTCGGAACTACCCCTGCAATCTCCCCCTTAAACCTGCCCCGTGGGGGTTTTAATGATCCTGTGAAAGTATTTTGCACTCCCAGACTTAAAAAACGACTAGAGAGACATCTGTGGCCCACTCTTCTCCCAGCCCCTCCTCAGGGCGGCTTAAACCGCAGCCACATTACTATTCATGGTCAGAAGATGGACTGGTTGGAGAGAACATTTGGTAAATTGCCTGGAAGTGGTCCAAAATGCCCCCAAAACACATTCGTATTTGGGCAAAATTGCCGGATTTAAAAAAAAGGTAATTTCTTTCCCTTGTTAAAAAAAAAAAGACTTTCATGCTGAAAAAAAGTGTCAAATCCTGCGACAGAGAGAAAACAACACTCTGACCAGGCAGTTCAGCGTGAGCTGCTTATGATTGACATTCAGGTAAAAAGATGAGAAAAACCCTCCTGACAGTTTTCATCTGAAACAGAGAAAAGAACACGAGTAAAAAAGACACCACTTAGTAAAAAGCACATTAAAGTGATTATCGCCGCAGCAGAAAAATAAATATTCGTCAAAGAAGTTGCATAATTCAAAGAATCTACGAGGTTCCTTCATCAAGTAGTGCTTGAGGAGAAGTAGAAAACCACCATCAAAGTGTCTGTTCAAACCTTCAGAGTTCAGTCAGACTCATCACTGATGCCTTCTGGGATTTTTTTTTTACTCTTCCATAGGAATGTAAGATAAGATGGAGTGTTCCTGTGCAATCGCTGCCAGTTCTTTGAGGAACTCTGTGAAGAGGACGGTGGCGAAGACTTCGGTCCGATCAAGTGAGATGGCTCTGGGTTTGGGCGGAGGAGAATTCTGGAGGATCCTCTGTGCCTCGTTGCGGACGGAGCCACTGCTGGTGATTTTGTCTGAAAATAAAAAGATTTTTTTTTAGTTTTTTGAAGAACAGGATGAAGGTGAAACTATTTAATTCTCATAAGTAAGAAAACAAAACTCTGAAACCGCTGGGAGGCTGCTGTTGTTCAAAAAACGTCTAGAAAGAGTGCAGGCTTCACTGAGGTAAGGACAGAAGTTTAGATAAAGTCAAGACAAAGTCAAGGAAGGTTTATTTGGTTTAAGAAATGCAGACAGCTTGTGTTACTTAGTTTAAGTGATATCAACAACTTTTAAAATAAAAGTGCCTGGTGCTCAGTTTGTTGTTGTTGCTCAGAACAACCTCTCTTTTTCCATTGTCTTGAAATAAAATAAAGTCCAACACAAACTTTGTTTTTTAGTATTAAGTGGATGAGGAGGTTTAATAACAACAAGGACTTTTAACTGCCAACGTATGCAGATGCAAAGTGCTGTTTCTCCAGCGTTAATGGCAAGTTGTTTTTGACAAACAAAAGCGTCTCTGCTTTGTCCCCTGACAGACGACTCCTCGCCTCATCTACAGCACGCCCTGTGAAACTAAACAAACGTTCACACGACTTAGAACTGCTTCAATAATGTTACGTCTCATCTGCAGCACGCCCTGACTTAGAACTGCTTCAATAATGTTACGTCTGGAAAGAAAGACCGTTGATGGTGTTGTAAGTGTTGGATTAGGTTTGTTGTCTGAACGACCTTGCAGTTGCTCTCCCATTGTTCACCTTACTGTTACATATGTCAAGCTTTGAGCTTTTATGAAGAGTACTTCCAAGAAAACAACATATTAGCATGACAAACAGTACTAGCTGAGCCTCCGCTTCTTTTCCCCGACATAGAACACAAACAAAACGATCAGCTACAAAACCGGCACGACGTAAGCTGACAGGGGATCGGACAGGAAGAGCATTCATCGCTATTTAATCACATGGTCTCTGTTGAGTTTTCTCCATTCTGTAGAACTACAGTACAATGATACTCCTCATGTGTACTACTTATCAGAAACATAACCTGGAGAAGAATCCATGTGGGTGTTGTGTTACCTGCTGCCATGATACTCTCTCTGGCCAGCAGCCAGTGCTGTGCTGCAGTGATCATCTCTGAAAAGTCTTTTCTCGTAGACGCAAGCTGTTCAATCTGGTTCTTAACTGTGGCCAAAACCTAAAAGAGGAAAAAAAGGTACATCATGAGGATTACTGCCACATTTGCAGGATGTTGATGTTTGGTTGAACATCAAACACAAAGGAAAACGTGTCAGAGAATGTGCTCAGATTTCAGACTGTGTCTCTGTGTTCATGGTTTCAGTCCAACACTCTGCATGTCTCAACATCCTCCAGTTCTGGCACAAGCTCTTAATCTTTATTAGATGAGTTGAAACCGTGTCACGGTCCGAGTGTGTACCTGGTACAGGGAGCGGACAGTGGGCTGAAAAACCAGGTTGGTGTTGAGGAGGAAGGAGCGCAGCAGAGGCTGAGGGTAAGTCGCCAGCTGAGCCAGGATACCGGTCAACAGCAAGTTGACATACAGGGAGTTAGAGAGCATGTTCTCCAGTCGAGACAGCAGCACACTGATGAAGGGACCTGCGGAGAGACAGACACAGACACCGTTTCTCTGCTGCGTCCAAGTTTAATTGGAGACAAACAGTGAGGCCCTGCAGAGAAAATACATTCTCTCAAAGTGCTCGTTCTTCCCTTTATGCATCACCAGTGGCCTTTAACAGCAGTGTGAATAGTCACACTCAATCTGCACTGAATCTTAAACATGTTGATACTGGGGTGTGTGTGCCCCCTGCTGGTCACCTACCAAGTCTGCTTAAATCATCAACATATTTTTTTGCTTTGAAACAGAGGTTGTAATTCATTGGGCTCATAAATCCTGTAGTAAAGTGAACAGGATGTTACAGTAGCTGCCTCCTGTGTTTCTGTTTAATTGTCACTCAGATTACCCTGAAGGATGATTTGCAAACAACAGAACCAGAACTGCAGAACTGAATACATCGATGGAGGCAGCGCCGGATCAACGACTGTGTCACAGTCAGACCAACCGGAGTAAAACATGAAAAGACTTCAAGAGGGCTTTTTGTTCAACTGTGGGCTGAGCTTATAAGAAAACTAGAGCTGTCATTTGACTAAACTGTTGAATCAGATTGATCACAGAGAAGCTGTTAATTAATCACAATTATAAAGGTTAATCGAAATCATAATCAAAATCAAAATAAAAACATTCTTATATGTATATATCTATCCATCTTAACGGATCATAATCAATCAAAATCAAAATAAAAACATTGTTATATGTATATATCTATCCATCTTAACATATATATTTATATGTATATACTGAGTATAAATGTTATTATTAAAAAAAAACATTATTTGCTTTAATTCATTAAAATTGTAACGATTCATCCTTCATGTGGTTCAAACAGCTCTGTCAAGTTTTATTAGATTTTTTTGTCATCATTGATCAGTGTTTTATTCGATCACCCTTCGATCTCTGAACTCACCTGTGAAAGGCACCGAGTGGCTTTTGCTCGTGCTAATAACTTTGGTTCCGAACGGTGCATGAGGTTTGTCAGTGTCCGGTGACTCAGTTGAGAAGGAAGTAAAGTCCATCTCCTCGTCTTCCTCTCTGTCCTCCAAAGGTTTGACTGCTTTCTTCGACTCGCCGTCACACTTTCCCAGTTTTCCGGCGGCTTCTGTGTCCAACGTACGAATGAGCTCCTCATACTGAGACAACAGGTCGTCTCCCAGCTCAGCTGTGGTGGAGTTTCTGAGGTTTGAATTACAGTCTATGTGGACTTTGGATTTTGCGTCTAAACTGTTCTGTGAACGTGCTGCGCTTAGTCCATTATTGAGGGGAACGTCTGAAGGGCTTGGATGGACGGATTCTGGATGGGCCTCGCCAAATTTGTGCTTAGTGCGTTCAAAATCTTTAGAGTCTTTCTTGGCAACCAGATCGTACACCATGACATCATCCTGAAACTCGTTTTCTTCGATGTATGAGCCTTTGACCAACATGATGGCTGTTTTCCTCATTTCTTGGATGTGCTTTGGGGTTTCAGACAAAGGTAGTGATGGCTGTTTGTTCTCCTCTGGAGTCTCTGCAGTCTGCACCGCACACACATCGTAACTGTCATCCCACTCCAGTTCTAGCTGGGTGACAGAAGGCAGCTCTGTGTTGGGTCGAGGCTGAGGTGCCGGCAGCTGCGGAAGTTTCTTGAGCGCCACCTGCGCCTGCCGATTCTTGACCCAGGGCTCCTCCAGGACCCCATGCTGGTATTTCTCAGGAGGCGGGTCCTCGCCATCGTACAGAGCAGACCACACCTGGCAAGCCTGCATGCAGCTGCCGATGGTAAGATGGGCGTCGCGGAGGTAATGAAGGTAGCTAACATCCAGGTAGATCTCTGAGCCAATGGTGCAGGAGTTCTCGTCAGCGTCGGCTGAGTAGCTCCCCTTCTCATCTGGGGAGAACAGAGAAAAAATATTGATCGAATCTCTCAGCCGGTGTCTCAGTGAGCAAAGTAATGAGAATGACAAGTAACAACAGGAGGCTAAGTGATGTAATACCATGTAACAGCAGGAGGCCTTGACATATGATAGATTATTCATCATCAAACTTGTTATGTTTGTATCCAGATCAACAGCTTCACACTGTACTACACCATATGTTTGAACAGACTTGCTAAATCACATTAATAAATTACACTTCATTAAATTTGTTTTGTAGGTGCCACAGTGCGACAGCTCAGATTTCTGTTTCCAGTGATTCCTCTCCTCAGCACAGCAATCGCACTGAACTTAAAACAATATAAAATATAACACACTTCAGTGTTGTCATCGATAGTAAAACGTTGGCGAAGAACTCAGCGGGCACACACACACATATAAACACAAATATATAAATACTAATATATATATTTATACATATACACACATAAATATATACATTTTTACTGTGTGTAACAATTAATTTTGTTAACTCAATTCCTTTTACAAAAGAACTTGCTGAGATTTTGAAACACAAAATGTTTGGTCCATCCCACCTGTGGAGTCAGAGTTAGCAGATGCTTCTGGACCTTTGGAGAAGAGAATGGAGTCCAGTTGTCGGAGTGGAGGAGGGCTGTGTTCTGGAGAGCAGCAGGACGGAGTTAAAGCCAGGATCTTGGCTGCTGACACTGAGTAGCAGTCCCTCTCCCTCACCACACGCCTCTGACTCAACATTATGTGATTACAGGGGATCAGGTACCTAGAGAGACAGATGGGAACGGATCCTGTTAGAAGAACCAGTGTGTGTTTGGAGAGAGGGGACGGAGCCAGAGGGTAGTCAGCAAACAGATGGTCACACGATTCTGCATGATGCGAGGCGGAGAGTAGGCGCTCATCATACCACAAACCAATTAGATGGAACCAAGCTTTATGACTGGGACTGAGGCATTTACCTCAGTATGAGCTGCAGCATCACATCCTCACAGTGTAAGCCAATCAGAGTGCGGAAGAGAGCCAGAGACACCGTGCCCAACTGGAGAGTGACCAACAAAGACAAAAACAAATGGACAAGACGGAGGAAACTGTGAACAGTGCATTTTGAATAATGCCAAAATTAAACACAGTTTTTCATAAATGAGACAGTGGTGAGTATTTAAGCTGTAATTAGATATTGGCAAGAAAACAATTGGACTTTACTGACTGTACTAGAGCTTAACAGGATATTTGACTGCTAGAAAAATACAAGCAGTCAATTATTAATTTTATTATTTTCACTGCTTTTTAAAGGGTCAACAGGAAGCAGGGTCGATTCACATTTACCCCTGGACAAATCACCAGCCAATTACATTGGGCATAGAAATAGTAGAACTATTGTTCATATTTAATACACTGTCTTTAAAGTCTCTGAATACGTTCATCCTAAATATGCACATGTTTAGACTGTGGAGGAAAGGACTGTACCCTGAGAAACAAGGACTGCCATCAGATGAACTTGCTCAAAACACTCATTTTTACCAACGTTTAGTTTAAATCAGTGTCACTATTATGAAAACTCGATTATTCCTTGTTTGTTTTTTGCTACTGCAACTAAAGAAACAGTTGGAGGAGTTCTTTCACCTACTGTGTTACACCCTCACGTCAAGTACACATTACCTATTCAGATCCACTGAAATATTTACACTAAACATTCCAACACACACTGTAACACTGCTGGAAGCTGCTCATAACACCAACACATTTGGCTGATGCAGCTGAGCATCACCATGGCAACATTCTACAATCTCTGCGCTAACCAACACCCCGGGGACTTTTGAGTCATTGTAAAAACCAAATTTGGATCCTTTGGACTTTTGAGTCATTGTAAAAACCAAACAAACCTGCACGGTAGTTGAGCAGGATCTCAACAGAAATAGGTGTGTTTACCAGACATCTGTATCGCCCTGTGAATCTACCTGAAAGGGGGTGTTGATGCGGCTGACCAGGGTGTCGAGGATGTGGACGCCTTCATGCTGGTGGAGGAGAATGAAGGAGAGGAGAGTCTGCAGCAGAGCAGGTTCTGAAACGCTCCTCAGGAAGAGGTCCAGATACGCCGTGGTGGCCATCACCTCCTCCAGTGTCAGCTGCAGAGTCACAGAGATGAGAACTCAAAAGATACAAATGTATTTGAACATGTGTAAATGAGAATCTTCATACAGAAATGTTTACAAAAACACACAATCTGACTAGAAAAACTAGTAGGTACTAGGTACAACAAAATTGTCAAAAATACCAAAAACATCTTTAAATAAAAGTTGATTTAAAATGTAACACATCTCGGATCAGACAGCACCAGAACATCAACTTAGAAATAGCTGGTGCCTGTATCTGAATTAGTGTGGACAGTTCAAACTAAAAGGTAAAAAGGAAAAAAGTGAGTGAAAAACACCTGAAGGGGAAATAAGGTTACATCTAAATATCAGACACCATCTCTCTGGAGCTGTACAGCAGGGTAGGAACATTTTAATATGCTTTGACTGCTGCTGTTATTTTTACATTTTTATCTCTGCTGTTTGCACAGTGCTACAGTGTAAGCCTCACTGCACATGAAACTCAGCTTTGAAACTGTGACTGAGGCAAATATAAGTATTGGATCAGGGCCTGCTGATGGTCTGTATCCAAAATCAAGTATTGTCAACACTGTTTTAAGAAGTTATTTTATTTTTATTTTTTTTATGTTTAAGCAGAGAGACACCGACCTTGTGTAGAGCTGGTGCAAGGACAGCACCAACCTTGTGTAGAGCTGGTGCAAGGACAGGCACAAGGAATCCATTGTAGATGTAACCAACCAGCTGGTCTCTGATCAAAGGGTGGGCCACCTTTGAACAGCCAATATTAAAGCACACGTGAGTCATCACCCCTGTCATGAATATGTATTTTATGTAATACAGTAGTGTGTGCATGGTCAGCCAGGTCACACATTTTCACCTGAATCACAGCGTTGCAGAACTCCAACGAGTTCAGAAACTGGACCAGTGACGGCATCTGAAGCCAGTCTTCCCTGTGAAGGCAGTGCCACTCTTCATTAGGAACTTCCAGTTTGGTGGGAAGAGATGAGTACAGGCCGCTCAGCCCTGTGGCCAACACCTGAGGCCAGAGAGATGACGGGCCATTAACAAAGAGAACTACAGTCCCATTGGTCCAGATAAGGTTCTAATTACGCACTATGTGCAACATCCCCGCTGTCCTGTCTATCTTTACCCATGTTTTACTAATGACCCTGAAGCAAAACACAATCGTAAATCACTTCACTTCTGACACTTTGTATAATGTGATTCAGGTGTAAGCAAAACAGCCTCCCTGCCATTGATTAGGATTTATGTGTTTCAAAGGTCAGCTCAGAAAATGTGATGAAGAGTGAGTATCAAAGTGTTTTATGGCCTACACCACTCACGCCTTAACAAGCATGATAACAGCATTGCTAATTAATGCATCTGTGTTTGCTTCTTCTACATGGACACGGCAAATTAGAACTACGCCTTTAGTCTGCCAGCCTGTATCACATTTACACTATCAAAGGATTTCAAAACAACGACAATGCCTACAGCACGTCCTTTCAAACTGACTGTAAATGAGTGCATCATTAGCATAGCGCTGGTACATATATCCCCTTTAGGATTATCCTCGTTGACTGCCAGTGAAATCAATTAAACACAGATCCTGTTATTCAGCTGGCATACCATCAAAAGACATGTGTCTGTGCACTGATGCAGCTGTGGGTGAACTGCCATTATCTTATAAATGCCAGATATTTGTAACAACCAATGCCAGAGATGTTTGAACCACACCAGTGGCATGAAATCCCCAGCCCACAGGGTCTCCATATAAAAAGTCACCACAAAAAATAACACTGACTAACTACGGTTTTTTAGTGTGATGTAATTTGTTTAACAAATGTTGGGGATACTAAAAGAGACAATTTTAAGAAAAACAAAAACACATAATGACTGTTTGCAAAGAGCAGAAGAGAGGAAAAATGTCATCAATGTGGACTGACCGGACAGAAGAACGTGTTCTCTGCAACGTGTTTGGCCACTCTCTCGTTCTCAGCAGACAGTGACATGATGAGCAGCAGAGCGTCTCTGGCCTGTTGACCCACTGTTCCCTCCCTGTGGATGAAAGGGATGAGGAGGGAAAATATGAGGAAGTTGGTTGCTCCTTGATCCTCGCTGGTGTGGAAAAACAGCTCCAGAACCGATGGGTCTTTAGCCAGAATGCAGCACAGCTGGTTGAGCAGCAGAACCAGCTCGGCTTCAACATCCGGCGCTGCGGTGGACGAACAGGAGGACAGCAGCATCATGAGCGGCCGCAGGATGGGCTTGTGATGCAGCAGCGGCTGGTGCGCCTGCCCCACCAGCATTTCGTACATCTTCAGCTGTTCCAGCTTCATGTCGTCTGTGAACTCTCTTCGAAGGCTCCACACGAACAGACGCTCCATCACATTCTCCATCACCACAAACTCCAGGATGGGGCCCATAGAGCCTTCCTGACCGCATTCCTCTTCAATCAGGAGGAACAGCATGTGCTCCACATAATTCTGCACAGCACTCGCCTCGTCTCCAGGAATGGCACCGAAACGAGAGCCGCCATTAGAACTCGTGCTAAGGCTGATGACGTTTAAAGACTGCAAGGTGGAACTGCTGCGCAGAGGATCATGCTTTTCTAGGATCTTCACCACCTACAGCGAAAACAAGAGGAATATTACTGCAACAAGGAACTATTCAGTAACGTGGAATTTGTAGAAATTATGTTACAAGTCCTAATAAAAAAACATAGAATGGTAGAAAACTAATTTGTGCATTGGTTATTTGTTTTGGTCACAGGAAGTATTAGTTGCCATGTCATTAGTTGCCGAGACATCGCCCTCTTTTTTATCCTATGCATAAAAGGTTGTTAAAATATGTGAATATGTGATTAACGGTGAATTACCTTTCAAACATTTCATTATTTTCATTTCCTTTGCCATGTTCCTTGTTTCATTAGAACGGTGTACAGCTCCACCATGCATTGGAGCTCTGCACTTCTTTCAGGTACTGCGTCGACAACACTAGAGACAGTCAAAGACTGGTCTTATATCCCGGGCCCAGTCACTAGTATTCAAAGATTTGCCAAAGCTACTCATGCTTGTGGACAAGGTTTTGAGTTAGAGGACAATCAATAATGTTCTGCCAGGACACTGAACTCCAAAACAGGGCTCTTCAATGTATTCATAGCACCCCCTTGCGGAGGAAATGGGATGCTACATGCTTTCTGATCACAAACAGAACACCAAAATAATTACAATTACATATTAAAAATATATATATTAAAATCTAACGGTATATTGAGATAGATTTTACAATATCATAGCAGCATGTGAATATTAACATTGTCAGTTGATAATTACCATCAATATCACTATTTACTATATTTTAAGAATTTATTTGGAGAAAGCAGACTTAATAATTCATTAAGAAATTCAGTTAAGTGACTCTATTGTAACAAACTATTTACAAATTCAGAGTGTGTAAATATTACTATGTTACAGTAGGGTTCATCATCACTGACAAGCCTGCTCTCAGAGCTCTGTGGTGTAAATAAACCAGCAGCACAGTAGAGATAAACTCAGTTTACTGGCACACAGTGAAACAATCCTTTGTGTATCCTGTCCCTCCCTGGTGTGTCCACTGCATAGAAACCAGAATCACAATAATGGAGCCAGTGTCCCCGGCCTGCTGCTGCTGTCATGACAACAAATGGCAGTGCACAAGAGAACAGAGCATGACGAATGGAAACAAGAAACCAGAGTTTGTAATCCCTGCGTGGACCCGGTGGGACCTGACCCAGTGGCCTCAGCCTCACAGGTCGGTCCAGATCAGAATTTCCAGCTACTGCTTAAGTGACAGTTCTGAGATCAGGCAAACGTTTTGGACTGTCTGCTGCCAGTATAACAATCAGCTGCTCACAAGAAACTGCTCGATAAAAATCTATTCAGTCTGTTGTGCATGAATGCACTTGTACCTTCTTTTAGTAGGTGACAGTATAACAAACAGTTAATTTTATTAACACAAACTAAGTTACACATTACTTAAATCACCTGTTCTTTTGATCACACATCAACATATTACACAGAACAATGTAAAACATCTGACTTTGATTTTTCGATTTAAGAGATGATTTAGGAAGAAGTTTATCATAGATGGGCTTTAAAGAACAACAGTCTATATTATATTGGACTCCCTCATTTATCTACCATGAACCAGGACCAGCACGATAAACCAGTCTGTCCATCCTTAGGACCTGATGTCTTTGAACAGCTGCTGACTTTGATGATGTTTTTTAATTGCACATTAGCTCCACTACAACATTTACCATTCACCGTACTCTCAGATTTATTGGTCCTAAAAAGCAGCTCACACAAAACTGTCAACTTGTCAAGTGTTGAATTTAGCAGACTACAGCATCTGTCAGACAACTCCGCAGGTCACAGTGAGTCCTCAGAGGTTTGGATAGCACCAACTAAGAGCCAGCTAATGAACACCAACCTGATCTTTAAACTCCAGGGCAGGGAGATAGCACTTACCACAAGTAACTCAGGTTTCAAGATTTTCCGAGCTGAAACTAAAGTCAGGAGAAGACCTACAGTATCAGGCTGCAGATGAACCAGGCGTGGACGTAGGCAGTGACAGTACAGAACTTACATAACCAGTTCTCTTCAAGCCACAAGAAAAGGCCTAAATTGTGAAAAGGTCAGCTTTACATTTTTTGGGTGGTGCATATATTTTTATTTATCAATGTTTAGTGCAGCCTAAAAGCCAAAATAATCAAATTAGTAAAAATGTACATGAATTTATATGTGAGCTAGCATAACATAAATGTAGCTAATAATTAGAAAGACAACCGTATTAAAGAATTAAAGCTCAGTTTCCATTCAGTGCAAACGACATCTGAAAGCAACCTCTATTGTCACCTGATGAAAACTCCAACAATAATCGGGTTTAAAATCCACAACCTTGTTATTCTAATAAGATCATTAATTAGCAGGAACAAAACTTGAATGAGACCATGTTTACATTTGCATAGCACAGGAGGGGTAGCAGTTTGAAGTCATTAGTCTGATGTGAAGGAGCTGCAGCTGTTTATGCTAAACCAGTGGCTCTTCATTAATGTATGAGTCACAATGTGCTCCCAAATTAGAAGAGAACTTCTCATTCACACACACCATACAAGGGTGTGAATATAAAATACTTAATATGTTCCTGTTGGAATTATCACCTTCATCGTGTTGTGGTTCCTGGGTTTGAGTCCCAGAGGAACCACGTACTTAATGGTGCCTCCCATGGCAGCCTGTGTGGGTTGCAAAGCCTCACACTGTGCAACTGTGGGACGAATCATCTGCAGATGTTGATACTTTTTGGCATACAGGAATTAATGGATATAAAAGGCTTAAAATGTTCAATTTAAATGTTTGAATGATCAAATATTGTACGAGTTTTACTACTTAACTAAACTTTTAATTTTAAAATTAATTTTAATTGTAATTTTTTATTATTTCTGAGCATATAATTTGTACTAATTTACTTTTGTACACATTAAAGAAAGAGAAATAAGAGTGGAACAAATGGACTTTTAAGAAAGGGTTCACTGACTGTGTGTCTGATTAACTTCAGTACGTAACAGTGTTGATTATTATGAACATTTTATTATAAATTAACATTTTTGAGCTTTGAGAATAACCATGTTTATGCACAAGCTTGATTAAAGTTTACTGTCTTAATATAGCAGTATGTTTGGAAATACTGAGGAGTAGGAGGAACTCTCTCCCATGATGACCAGGGCTAACAGTCAGGGACACATGCTGCTTCAATAGGTCTAAAATCAAACCCTCAGTTCTACACTGCCAAGATTCCACTGACCACCATGACCACACGGCAGTTTTGCTGAGACTGAAGTCACCCAGTCACATACTATTTTCAGCTAGAAGTCTAGCAGAATGGGAAGATGTCTCAGTAACAAGCTGGGACTTACCTGAGCCCAGTGGTTCTTGAAAACAATCATGCAGGTCTCAGGATCCACCCCTTTGAGAACCAGAGACTGCCCGTCTCTGGTTCCATTGGCAACCATGGAGGCCATCACGATGACGGGGTCATATGGGAATCAAACCATGTCACACACTGCTGAAGGAGGAGGAGGAGGACGAGGTTCATGACTGCTTGTTAGCTTCAACCATAGCCACAGACAGAGGGATAATTAAAGATGGCCTGCCATAAGAGGAACACACAGGCAGAAGTCATCATGTACATTTAGCTTCAGCAGACAGATGTGTAACAATACAATAAAATGATTGGTGACTGCAGTGGATTTCTCTCCCTCTGTTCCTCTGCATGGCCAGACATCAGCTATGACAGGCATGCAGGAGAGAGAACAACAGCCAGAGTCAGATGACTTGGCTCAGACGCTTTTTGCTTGGCTTTTACTCAGAGGTTTTGGTTCCTGCTGCACTGTGGACTTGAGCTGTCAAATTACTTTGGAATATTTCGGACACCCACGGAAGATTCTTGCAGGTCCCTTGACACCGTTTGCACTGCTGAAACGCAGTTATCGCTAGTAAAGGTGAACTATTTGGATCAAGTTTTTTTTTTTATCTAAGATTCTACATCTTTTCTATTAGACATGTTTCTGGTATGTGTTGACGTTTGTTTGACAAAGTCTGAGTGGTCCTGACCCAGAATTCTGTCAAAAATATCAATAGTTCCCTGAGACATTTCCTTAAGAACCTGCTTCCTTTGTAAAATGAAGATATCTTTTAACAAATGGTATAGAGGAAAAATTCATTTGTACATTTTTATTGCATGCAATAAGCACTAAACATATTCTACCAACAAGAACAAACTAAAACACAAGTCTTGACTGCTTTAAGGAAAAACATAGTACCAGCACACTTAATTAAGAAACAGGACATTACAAGTGAGTCAAGTCAAAGCACCACCTGCAGGGGATGCAGGAGGGCTACATGCACAGTGGAACACTAAATCAATAATAAGTAAATAATCCTGCAGACTATATTACCTAGTCGGTAATGGTATTTGGCATAGTTCTTACAAATAAAGGATCATTGTATTTGGTCCTGATTTGGCTGGAGCTCATTTTGTTTCAAACAAGTGGTGATAAAAATGTATATCGCGAACAAAAAAAAAAAACAAATCATATTGTATCGTGAGATGAGCGCCTGGTTACATCCTTTCTCGTGCCACAGAATCAACACCAATAACCACAGATCAGGCACAACACGGCACGGAGTCAAACTTTCACCATCTGCTTTCACTTATAGAGAGTACGGCTGGTGGGATTCTTGTGAAGGAATGTAGAAGCAGTTTGGAGAGTGTGTCTATGACTTTTAGACTGTGTGTGTGTGTGTGTGTGTGTGTGTGTTCTAGCCTTACCTTGGCTGAACCATTTTGTACAGGATCTATAAACAGGCGAAGTTCTCACTGCTGCCCTGTTGTAAGAAAACAAAAAAAGCTCACATGAAGACGTCTTAAGAGGCAGTAATGGGATCAACCGGTACAGAAATAAGTGTGTGAGCGCGACAACGCATGGTAGGAAGTGACTGGACATGAGTAAGCTGTTCCGAGTGCTTTTTGGATTCAGAAGGAGGATAGGAGGGAGCAAGACCGGCAAGGAAGGAGGAGTGAGAATGGAGGAGTCAGAATAAGAACGGGGTTAACAAAAACCTGCGGGAAAGAAAGGGCTATGCCCAAATGTTCAATGTTACTGAGTTTAAGAACAAAAATCTGCAGGAAAGAAAGGGACATGCCCAAATGTTCAATGTTACTGAGTTTAACATCCTCATAATGCCATGCTGATGTCGGCTAACTGAGATAATAACTCTTTAGTTCTTTTTCTAATTAGTGCTGTGATGCCACTGGCTTCCTTCTAACCTGTGAGAGGCCCATTCTTCACCAGCAACTGTCCATTCCTGCACTGCAATGTGGACTCCAGTCATGGAACGCTCGTCATACACTGACATAGACTGTTTTATTCAACAGGTACGGTATAGATGCAAACACAACAACCAGATAAATTCTTCTTGGCCATTTTTACTTGAGACACTGTTCTTTCCAACGGAATAGTTTCTTGGAAATTAAATCAGGTTTTCCCTTCAAGGAGGCAGGATACCGTGCAAAGAAAGAGAGTGAAAGGGAGACAGACGGAATAAGACGATCCGTGAGACTGAGTCATGAGGCGACTGTTTTATTTTTTTCTGACTGATTTTGTGTTTCTGACAACTCCACCCTTCTTTGCAGAACCTCACAGACAACTGTGACAAATGCCTTTTATTTTGCACTTAATCATGCAGGAGGACAATTTAGTGTTTTGATCAGAGTAAATGACACACCTCGTCATTGACAAACATCCTGTACAAACGACCAAAAAGCTGCGGCAGCAGAGCAACTTAAAGGTTTGGGATAGGATTTACAGTATTATACGTCGCTAATTTTAATCTTAGACAGGTTTGTTGTTGAGTGTGATGCAATGCTGGTAGTAAAGATGATAAATACAGGTTTTAAACTTAAAAAAAGCCAGCTCTGGAGGCCACAGTGTCAGTATTACAATAGTAAAACAGACAGAGAGGCATTTGAAAAGAGACACCGCTGATTCAGCAAAGACTTTACAGGCAGAGTCCTTCCAGAAACACACTGCGGTTAGGAACTAGGTGGAATAAAACCACCTTCTGTAGGTGGGAATCCTACCAAAACACCACTCTAGCACCCATTACATTTTGATTAACATAAAAATCCAAATACAGTGAAAGGACTTTACGTCGGCTTTATACTGCGATCTATTTTTCAAGCCGTGCAGTAATTCTCTAAGCCCTGCTCAGACAACAATACACTGCACTACTTCATCTGAAAGTTCAGCCTCTTTGCTTCAGTCTATTTTATTCCCCCTCAATCAGCCAGTTATCATAAGGACATGGATAAAACAACACAATACATAACCATAAAAATATATATATTTGTTAAATACTTCTACAGAATAACTACATTTGTACCTGCAGTACAGTGAAGCTAAAACACTGGGAGCTGAACAGTCAGTCTCAATCACACAAAGTGAAACAGTGAAGGTATGCAAGGACAGACACTGTACATGTAAAAATGCAGACTCAGCACAGTGAACACTTTGCTAGCCTCAACGGTTCCCATGACGTGGTCAGATACAATTATCCACTTATGGCAATTACATGTATTGTAGCTTCCCCAACTCCACAGAGATGAAAAGACAGAGACACAATCAGCACAGGAGGAGAAGAAAAAAAAGAGAGGACGATGGTAATTGTCTATCACTGGATGTAGCAAGTGTTTCATTTTCTTATTATGCTGCCCGTCAGGGAGGTCATACCTCCATCAAGGGCTAGCACGCCTCCTAAAATATTATACTCAGCTTTTTCCATCTTTAGTGACGTCAACCTAGTATCTATCTATATCTAGTTTAACATCATCAATGCAAATCAATCCTTCAAGTCACCAGTGAGAAGTTCATGGTCTTTCATTTTCAAGAGATCCGAGGAGGCCTTCAGGAACATCATGATTCAAGAATCTGAAAGGAGGAGCTGTGATCTGACACCAAAACAAAAATGTTTACCATCAGAACTACTGCAAAGTGGGTTTTATTTTTTCCTATATCTGGTTTCAGGCATTGTCAGCTTTTTTGTGATCCATGTGTTTTTCATACACACAGGTGTGGTCTGGGCAAATAGCTCAGTGGGGAGACACACCCGTCACTTTGAATAAAGATCAACTTTCTTGCCTCACAGGAGTTCTAAATCTCTAATTCAAAGGTAATCTTACACGTCAGAACTACTTTTCATTTCTTTCCAAGAATCCATTTTTTTAAACAAGTGTCCTTTAATGTTTCACTTCCTGTTTACTTCCTGCGTTGTAGGTGAAGCTCACACAGTAATTTACAGTGTGCAGTGACACAGTGCTAACCCCTGAGAATCACTGGCACGTTAAAGTGATAGCAGCTGTTGAAATATCTAGGGCCAAAGACCAAGTCCTTGAAAGACCTGGTAATTCTTGCTCATATTATTTATGGTCTGTACCACTGCCATCCAATCAGCTACGCTGCAGGAAATGAAAGCCATTGATTTTCTTGTCTCTTATTTCCTTAAACAACAGAGCCGTGGACCTGGTGCTGAGAAGAGAAGAACGCTGAGACTGAAGTCGTGGTCTATGAGTGTGGTGGTCTGCACTCATGTGGGAACTTTGAATTTCTGTCTGCTGGCTTTTAAATATTTCCCACCAAAGTGTCAATGACATAGAGAATAGCACGGACACAGGAATAATGATGCCAGTAGTAAAAAAGCTCAATGTTCTTGATTAACTTTTTTCAAGTAAGGCTGAATTATTTGTAATTGCACAATGTTTTCACTGACAGATATTGTGGTTGTGTTTTATTATAAGTATTTCTTCTGTTTTATAGTCACAGATATAATAGTATTTAAGTATTTTTTTCTGTTTTATAGTCACAGATATAATAGATTTACCACAATGGTGTTTAACTACATATTAGGCTCCGGAAAAATCCTAATCGCTAATGTCCAAGAATTATTATTTATGAAATTAAAAAACAAATAACGAGCAGGACTGAACTATAAATCAAGTTGGAAATAAATTTTTCATCATTGCTGAATCTATGGCCTCACGTATAATGTGAAATAATCTTGCAACGCTTTAACACCAAACAGACTGTGAGTGAAGAGGTGAAGTGGATGAATTTACCTTGCTAAGAATTTTCTTGGAAGGGACGTGTTGACCAAAGAGACATTTTCAGTACAGCTCTGAGATTCTACGGCTGATGTGACACTGTTGTCCCATCAGAGACTGTTTCTACTGAACACCGAACACTGAATGACAACAGTAACTGGCTTATGAGATAAGGCTGTGATTATGTAACCAGGTAGGGTTGTTCCATGTTGCGTGTCTGTGGATTTTCACAGGCACATGGAGACTCACGGGTGTTGGCTGTTGTGTTCAGCTGAGAACTTGTTTCAGGCACAGGCCGATACTGACATTTTGTTCAATGATCACAAAAGTAGAATTCATTAACATGTGTAAACACTACAGGGAAGAGGAGGGAGGAGAAAAAGTACATCAACTGAGAATTCAATTACGGTGCAAACAATGATCACATTAGCTGCACTAAGTCATGTTGCATTAATGAATACTGCTCTTCCATATTACCTGAAGGGCGACACCTTTGCGTCAGTCCAAAGCAGTAAAAAGTAGTTTGTAGTGTACAACAATTCTAATTCATAAATAATCATATTTACCAAATGGAAATCTATCCAAGAAACAAAGCGACCTTTGAGACACTGTCTGTTACAGGTATAGTAAATCATATAAATCAGTAAATCCAATACCCCAAAATATAAAAGTCATGATGCACAGCAGCAAAGGTAGGCTGCCAACAAACATCTTCCATTTGTTCTCCAGGAGTTTTTACTGGTTGCGTATTCATATGACAATATATACCAACTATTTTATTTCAAAACAAACCTCCTTGACTTCATTGCAAAGTAGAAAGTCTTTTGTCCTGTGGGGACAATTGATTCTGTGCTACGTTTAATGGTAATCCAAAAGAGATTTGTGACTAAAAGTCCATGACCGTGGCTTCAAACATTAGGATGAGCCTTTATATAGTGTGATGTCACTGTGACCTCCTTGTATCATTACAGCCCTGCAGAAAAGTTCCAGAAAACATGACCTACACTGGCTGTAGACAAATTCCCTCCGCCTGAAATTTTACACTACACCCTCCTCCCCCCTTCTAAACTAAATTACCTCACTGTAGGTACACAATATGGGCCGGTGACACCAGCTTTACTTTCATGTGATATGACGCGACTTCAGCCCATCCACACACCACAATAAAAAATCAAACAAAAAAAATCGTTAAGATAAGACTGTGTTTCATAGGTTTTTATCACATCGGCGTTCCTTCTTCTTCCTTTGTCACTCACTGATAAAAAAGTTGAATTGTGTTTGCAAATTTAAGGGGAGAACAGAAGATACGACGTGTGTGAAGCTCAGATATGTTTTTTGAGGAGATAAGCTGCAGTAATGCACTTGGGTGATAAGATTTTGCAGGTCACTGTAGAATCACATATAGAGGGAAAACAGGGTTACATAAATATTTTTTCACGGTATTGTTATAACTGTACAATTACCGGATAATCATTATCCCAAAGGTTGACCTTGTTTCCTCTACTGAGGCTGCCATGTTGGATCACCAATTTTTGACAGTTGCCCAGAAGAGACAAAAATATTTATTAACAGTCGACCAAAACCTGTCCCTTACCACTTGATGGTGCTATTACCTGAACACTGTAAGAATCTATGAGCTAAACAAGTTTGAGTTTGTTTTTTTAAAAGAAAAACAGATTAAATCCCTTTAGGGCTCATCTGTGTCAAATATTTGTTTGGGTGTGGATGTGTTTCTCTTTTCTGTTTTAACCCTTCACAGCTCACCATTTTCACATGTGTGTGTGTGTGTATATATTTACATGTAATATATTTATGTAAAACAGATTCAAACTTTTGCGTTGGATCCAGCACAGAGCACAGTAGCAGTCCTGTTAGGCCCAGTTTCAGAGAACCAGCCTTTTATTCAAGTCTATGTCAAATTAGACTCTTACTCCTTTGACTTCAACCTTAAGTTAATATTTTCCCAACTGTTATTTGGTCTAAATTAAAAGTTAAAAATTGTTTTAGTAATAATAGTAATAGTTTTTTCTATTGTTTGTATTGGGTTTAGAAATTACATCCTCAAATGTGTTGTAATTTACATCACACAATTTATAGGAAATAAATTGTGAAGATGAAGACATTTTCATTATTTTTATACTATGCAGTCAGTATTTAGAATCTATGATTAATTCATGACCACAACTGTGTCTTGGCTTAAAGCTATACAGTAAATATGTTAGTTGATTCAAGCTGAAAAGAACACTGTCAAGTTCAAACTTTTTTAGTTACATTTTTGTCTAAATCGGTTTCATACTTTCAGCGGAATTTTTAGAGGAATGCTAGTTGTTATTGTGGCCAGATTCCGTAGCTGCCCCTGAACTCCTACAGAGACTTTTGAGAACAGAATGGTGGGGGCAGAGGGGAGGGGGGGGGTCACGGGACAAACTGAGGTGAGTCTGTCGTGACAATAGAAGCAGGTGAACAAACACAGAGACACTTCTTTGTGAGTGACGACAACAACATATGCTCTGCATATTTGAGTCATGTCTCTGTTGTCAAGTGTCACACAGAGGGTTTAGACATGGTGTGATCCAGCCCACAAACTTGTGACTCGAGCTTAAACATGTAATCGCATTAGTATGACAATAATTTCCAGCCTATTGAGACTTAGGGGGTGTGGTGTGTTAGGAAACTCTTACTTTCAGGTTGTACAAGTGATTTCTACACACAGGTGGTTCATATACAGGGCAGAACTAATTTATTAGTTACAGTTCATATATATAAAATGTTCCAATCTTGACCTATGACATCATTTAAGTGTTTATGCTCAGTGGGTGGAACAGTGTTGTTGAATGGGTGGAGCAATTAACATAGTTCTTTTTTTGTAGAGGTAATTTTATAAACACACAGACAGGGCCCATGTGGTACATAGGACTGTTGTAAACAACACTGATAACTGCATGAATATAGACGGACAAAAATATCTTAGTTCATTTTAATGGTGTAGCTTTTTTAAAAACAACCGACAAGGCATATTTAACTTTACAACCTAAAAAAAGGTTAATGCTGTGGCACTAAAGCAGAACTGGGAATCTATTTACAAAGAGACACTTATTCTTTACTGAAGGCCATTAAACACGATCCACATGAGGAATATTTTTGACATCAGCCACATTTGGAGCCATTTGTTTTCATGACAATGGGAAAACCACACTGACATAGAAGAACATTGATTTGTTTTGCTGTGATCGCGTGGCCCAAACATTCCAACAGGAGTCACGTGATTATTCATGGTCATGGTGGTCGATGACCACATTCAGTCAGAAGACAATACATAACGATTGACAAATATCTGTCCAACAATGACGTCAGCATCCTCTGGCTGAAAGCCCTCTAGTAGACCTAATGTCCATCAAACTCAGGTTTGTAACG